ACTATTGATTTACTATATTGATACTGAGTATGTGACATGTTGAGCACATAATTTACTAAGAAAGTGACATATTGGATAGTATGTGTAGAATCTTCTAGGGTTTTACTATATATTGATATGATTCTGATAAATTTTAATGAGGCTTTAGTTTGATCGATTATATAATTTTTTTACTGATTGATAATACTGATTTGTCAAATATTTTATTAATATAACACCCGTATTGGTTTATTGGTTTTCCCACTGTATTGTTTTAGGATTTATATATTTTTACTGTTACTACCTACTATATGTGATGTTCATTATTTCTACATGAATTCATGATCATATAAATGTTACTGATATGATTTGATCGATAACATGCATATTACTTCGTTGTCATACTTTGCGTTCAGTTGTAGGATTTAGTTGTTTGATGTGCTATTGAGCTTATCATACGTAGTTAAATGATTTCAGGTCATGGCAAGGAAGCAGGAGTGTGAGTTTGATCATGAACCTTCAAATTCAGGTTCTTATTATTTTAATTATTCTTGTATACTCATGACAGAATAGCTATGATATGAATGTATAAATTTTGAGTGGTGTGTATGATTTTTGGGGAAATTAATATATATATGTATGTTTTGAGCGATTCTTTTATTTATGCAGGTATTTATATTCATAATAGAAATTAAATAGCTTTTGTTGTCGTATATTAAAAGATTAAAGAATATTTTTTCCAAATTATATTTTGGTGCGTTATAACCTTATTCAGTCATTAAAAATAAATCCTTTCTTTTAAAGCAAAAATAGGTAAAAAATTATATGGCTAATAGTAGGTTTATTCGTTCTCACAAGCTATATGATGTTGAGGGCTATTGTGATAATTTCAAATCCTCCTAACCAAGGAGAATTTGGATTAAATGAGATGCTTACATCACTTCATTTTTTTCCCATTTACTCAAACAATCAGGTCATTAATTGTCAGATTAAGTTTGGGAACACTCCACCATTCCTTCTCTATGTGGTTTATGTTGCAATCCTCAATTGAAAAATATAACCCCGGGAAAGTTTTAAGAGACTTTGAAGCTATGTTATTCATTCTAAATATCTTTGGGAAATCCTAGGACACTTCAATTGTTGCAAACATTATTAAAAAGCAATGGAGATAATATTATTCCTAATAGCATAATTTGGTATTTCAATAGTATGATTTTTTACACAACTATTAAAGATCATGCTTCTATTAGGTTACCTTATACTTAGTACAATAATAGGATAGACTACCATATACACATCAAGCTTGATCGTGCTCTTGCAAGTAATAAATGTCTAGAATTATTCCCTCATTCCTTTTATAGGGTAGAAAGCCCTAGATGTTTAGACCATTCCCCTTTAATCATCCAAATCAAACAATCTTACAACCCCAATCACAAATTCTAGCATAAAAATTAGTAGGCTAATTTGCACAATTTTGTGAGGCCCTATCCTCTATTTTTCAAAGTCTTTGTGCCAATAATCCCATTACACTTTTTACTCTCACTTGAAAATGTTAAAAACCATCAATAAATCCAAAAATTGTGTTTGTTCCAACCATTTGTCTAAGATAATAAAAGACGTGAAGACCAAATAGGCCTCCTACTTTCAAAATATACTCAACAATAACTCCTTTAACACCATGATTAATGCTCAAGCTAAGGACTTGGAAGTAACTCTTTCTACTACCTATTCTGCTTGGTTTTCCTGCATAGTTTTAAGAGACAAAATAAAATGGCTTACGAAAGGATAGGATAATCTTAATTTTTTGTATGGAAAAATCAGGATAATGAATCACAATTTCATAAGGGAGATAACTACTGATATAGGCACTTTTTATAATTCTCAAGATTGAAGCTACAATAAACCATTTTAAATCCCTACTAAATTCACCCACTACTGCTTTTGATGAGAACCTCCTTCCTCCTTCTAGACCCTTGATACCCACTCATCTATTGTCTCTTTTAACAGTGCATGTGATTGAAAATAAAATTAAAAGTGTCATGCTCTCATCTAGAAACTCTGTTCTATGCTCAGATGGATACACTGTTGGCTTCTACACCTCCACTTGGGATACTATTGGTAATCATGTTTGACTGGTAGTAAAACACTTCTTCAAAAAGGCTACCTATCTAGGAAGGTTAAAACAACATCTAATTCACTTATTCTTAAAACTGAACATGTAAGTTTTGTGATGGATTATATACCCATTTCTTTGTGCAACACATTTTATAAGATTGTTGCTAAAATCATTGTCTCCATGCTTAAAATTATTTTGTCACTCATTATTCACCTCTCTCAAGTTGGTTTTCTCAAGCATATGATATCTACAGAAAACATTACTCTTGCCAGGGAAATCCTCTATGACTTTCAACTTGCAAAGAAAAAATCATCTTTTCTATGCTAAACTTGATATTTTAAGATTTTTTATATCATTTCTAAATAATTTTGCTGAGAGACTTGAACAAAAAGATTTCTATGCTATGTTCATAAGATGGATCAAGACTTGTATTGATAATGTGTTACGTTATATGTATAAATGATTCTCTTGAGGGGTTTTTTTATTTCCTCTTCTAACCTTAGGCAAGGCTGCCCCTAATCTCCATAAGTATTACGTATTGTCATGTACTTTCAAACATGTTTGAAAGTTTTATCTCTTTGAAGCAATTTGATGGGATTAATATGAGTTAGTAGATTTTCTCTGACTTTTTATATGTAGATTATCTACTTTTTTTTTTTTTGGAAATCCCATATTGTAAATATGCACTCTCTTTCTTCAATTATGGACCATTTTAGGATGGTCATTGGGCTAAGTATCATCTCATTAAAGAGTTATATCATATTCTCTAAACATAAACCAAATCAACCTTAGCTCAATGGAGTCTTTAATTTGATGAATGAGAATATATATTTCACTGATTTGGGTATCCCAATTGCTCCTAGGAGGATCCTGCTATATAATCTCCAACCATTAACAAATAAAGCTACATTACACTTTGAGGCCTGGAAAGCCAATTGTATGCATATTACAATTCCTCGTATTCACTATATGGAACTCCATAGCATATTGGATAACGAATTCAATGATACCAAAAAATTTGTTTTGAACATCTTAATAAGCTCTATGCAAGGTTTATTTATCATGCTAACATGAATACTAAGAAGCTTCACCTTGTGTCATGGAAAAATAGTTGCAAGCCTGTGAAATATGGGGGCAAAGGGCCTTGACTACACTTTTAATTTCTCTTTGATATGTTCTCATTAGTAATTGCATCTTAGAAAATGATGGAAATATGAATACATATATTGGGAAACCTATGCCCACCAACACTTTTAAATGTTGGACCACAATGAAAATACTTGCTATATATATTACAAGTTTCCTATATTTTCATATTAAAAGGACCAGTAAACTATCTTTTTTGCGATCCTTGGTGTAATGATAAATCTATTGTTGAAGTTTTCAATACCAATGCTCCACCTCTTACCACATGATCTAACTATGTGCTTTCTAAGTTTTCTTGAATGGGATTTTGAACCTCCCAACGAGCTAGCATGCTTATCTTTTTTATGCTATTTCTAATACCCCTCTTTGTCAAGATTGTCATGATCTTACTCTCTAGTTGTGGTGCTCCACAACTACCTTCAAAAAGTTTCTTCACACCTTATGTCAAACTGAAATAAGGTGCCCTAGAAAAAAAAAATCTAGCATAAAAATCACGCATTAAGATTCTATTTTCGAATGGTTGGCTATAATTGGGGGTTTGAAAACTACATATTCACTTGTTAGCAATGCTGAGTTGGATACCATCTCACATATATCTTCTTTCAATGCGAGTATTCATTCAACATCTTGTGTAGAACTATACCCCTTTTATTCTCCTTTCTGCTGAGACTGAATCTTAAGCAAGCTTTAGATTTCATTGTTGATGCTCACACATTATCTGTTGGAGTTAAGAATGCTTTCTACCTTTTCATATGCACTATCCTATATCATCTTTGGAGGGAACTTAATGGAAAAAGATTTAGAGAACAATTATAACAGTAAAGAAACTCGTTACTTCCACATTAAAATGACAATTGTGCTTAAAATAATTAAAAAAAAAAAAAAACCGGAAGCTTTACCATGACATCAAATATCACTTGCTCTAAATGTGGAATTTCGCGCTGATATGCCAAGATGATGATGATAGCATTTGCGATCCCCTACAGAAATTACATTTTCCCCTTGGATGGCCTTAGCTCTTCGCTTAGGCAACCGGGGTCATATCATCTTCCATCCTGGAATGTTTTGGCTCTCTTCATGGGTGAATTTTTGCCAGTCTGAGTCCAATTTTTTTATTAGAATTGATTTTATGACAAATTGCTCACTCTTTTTCATTTTTGAGTAGTGTTCAATAGTTTCATAGTCCTTTATCTATTTGAGCATTGCTGGTTTTTATGCAGCTCTTGATGACACTAATTTGATTTTAGAGTTGTACCTGAGTTATCACCCACTTGTAATTATCAATTGTAATAATGGAAAAAAGGCTGGTCCCTAAATCATTCTCAAAAAACACACAACCATTTCTTCCAAGCAGTTGAGATGGCACCATGTGCTCACCTACACTTAACCTTCTTCAGCCAATTTGGTGGTAGCATGAAAGTGTAACCGAAGACACCATTAGGAAGATAAGCATCGAAAAGCCTTGTCATTTTGGACTTAAAATCCAGTAATATCTAATAATATCCCATTCCATATTGTAATAGAAACTTTCAATGATTAGATGTTACAGGTCTGAAGGCAAGAAATCCAAATGAAATCGTTAAAATGAGTGAAATAGAAGAATGAAAAAGTTTAGGCTTCCCATGTGTTTGTCCATCTATATATCTAATATGCTCTTCATCACTTTCTTGATCCTTTAAATATCTGTACAGTCAAGTTATGCAAACACTCAACGTTCAAATCTCAACGTCAACAATTCCTTTTGAAAGCATGCCAAAAATAAACCATAAAAACAATGACAAGTGAACAACTTACAATAACAAGAAACGAACTAACTATAAACAACTTGACATCTCTATCAGATTTACCACAATTTTATTTAGCAATAAAAAGAAAACACATCACCCAAACCTTGCCTAAGCATATAAACTACGGACTATTTAGCAATTCTCATGAGAAACTAATATAATTAATTTACAAGATGATTTTGCATGTCAAAGAAGTTCAATTTAGTCATCTCCACTTGCAACCGAGTTTGAAACTGCAGTTTCCGGATTAAACTTGGGTGATATGAACACGAATAACTTCATGGACTGCACCTCGGTTCAGCACACCAAGAACCTCGTCATCTTTGCCCATCACAAGCTCTCCAAGAGAGATTTTCCTTGAGTGGTGCTCATCCTGAAGGCGGAAGCCATAGAACCACCTCCCAAGCTTGAACCACCTAACGTAAATTTCTCGTTCTGAAACTTGGCTCCTGCAGAGGGCCTCCATCACCTCACTGGGCTGCAATTTTGCAAATGATTTCCTTGACTATCATGCTAAATAAGCTTCACAGTAACATGATCGAAATATTCTTTTCAAAGTTGGAAAGAAGAAGAATATGTGCACTTTAGGTCACTAATAAAAATTTCATTTGCAGATTAGGCAAGTCTATTCATAATTCTGGAAGACATGGCAATAATAACATTCCATTATATAGTTCATCAGCTTGAATGCTTTATTGAAAGTTTGAAAAAAATGCAAAGAGCTAGAGAACTCTGCATGTTAAAGGTCTGAAACAATAGGAAAGAACCGCAGGTCAAAACTTACCGAAATTTCAAGCTGAACTAGGCAATAGTGCAATCCAATCAAATTAAGAAGAACACTGCATCTTTTTGCAAACAAAAAAACTTGAACATCCTTGAAACCAAGCCTGTATGAGTGTAAATCACTGACTGCTTTTAAATAATACCCAGCTTCAAGAGATTCGTTTTGAGTACATAGATCCACAAATTCTTTTACAGCAGAAACCGCACGAGCTATACTTTGGTGTTTATAAATGTAAAATTCCCTCCACCCCTGCAGCAAATGACACATTTGGATTCAAGAAAAAAGCAAGCTGAACTACCTGCTCATGATGCAAATTATTAGTCATGGTCTAAAAGCTAAGAATCAACTTAAGTTGCAACAAAAAAAATCAACATAAATGTTTTGAATAGTACTAAATGTAGTTGAAATGTACACCCCAATATGTAGATCTCGATGAGTTGGGGAGATTAGGCGAACTTATAAAAGGATCAAGACGCATCCAATAGGAGTCACTCGCCCCAGCCTGAGGGGCACTCGTCTCAGCTGAAGAAGTCGCTCACCTTAATAGGCACACACACCTTAGCCAAAGGAGTCAATCACTCTAGTCACTTGCATTGGCCTGAGGGGCACTCGCCTCAATGAATAGGAGAAAATCGCCCATGTCCATTCAGGGATGGTGATCTTGCCTACTCAATCGACGACTCACCTCAGACACTCGCCAAAGGCTACTATCCATTTGTATATGCTATAACTTATCCATATCTTTATACTTGTCAAATCATGTATTTATTAACAGTCCATTTGATGTATATTTCCCTGTAGTGCTAAAATCCTATAAATACATAGTCAAAGGGCAAGTTTGATACACAGTATATTCTAAAGTAACTTCTGCCTTTTTGTGCTAGCAATAAAATCTCCAGAACTTCACTCTCTATAACTTATTTTATCTTTCCTCCCTCCTTTCCTTCTCTTTCTACCATTCTCTCTATTGATACCTTGCTGTGAACAAAATTGAATTCCACATTCTCTTAGGTGCGGTGAGAATGGATTGATATCAAGAACCGGAAGCTAAACATTAGGAGAAATAGAGCAACCCAAAAGATAGACATCCGTGAACATGAAAAACTAAGAGTTCATAACCAGCAAATAGCTTATGTAGATAGAAGAGAGGATCACGAGGATATTCCAACGAGCGTTAGAACGAGCTCTCAGGACCACTCTAAGAGTACAAATGACACACTGATCTTTGGATTCTGTTATCTGAAAGACACAGTTGCCACACTGATCTTTGGATTCTGTTATCTGAAAGACACAGTTAAGCGTCAAAGCGCTGACCTCTACACTCGCTTTAACCAAATCTTGTCATCCCAACAACAAAGAAGAGTCCACTCACTCACCCAGACAAGTGGAAAAGCGAGAGCCTAAATTGTCGAATGTGTTCTACAAAGACATTACGGATACCAAACCTCCGAATAAGTTCATAATACCTTACCTGGAGCCATACAAAGGGGAAACAAATCATCCTGATCATGTGGCTTACTTCGAGTTAAGGGCTTGAAAACCTTCTTAGTTCTTACCAAGTCACTGAAGAACGATGGATCACCAAAAAAAAGCATAATTATAGCAGAAAAGTTTCAACAAGATGCTGATAAAATAATGAACCTGTACGGGAGGGCAAAGGAATCGAGATTCAGCAGAAACTTGCTGCGCTGTAACTTCATCAAGCCTACACGAAACCCTCGGTAACTGTGAGGATCCACTCAATTTTGAACCCAAATCGACCATTTGCCATCTCTTCTTGGCAAGCCCCATCCACAGGAAGTCAGAGTAGCAGATTCCGCGCCAGAAACGAGAGCAACTCCCCAAAGAGCACACATCCGCCGCCTTCTCTTCCCCGCCCAAATTAATTCATCAAAAATCAAATCAGATAGTAAAAGTTTAAAATGAATAAAGTAGATGCAGATAGAGAGAACGACCTCAAGGAAAGCGGCGATATTGAGGGCGATATCGACCGGGATCGAGCTCCAGCATCGCGGGGTCGCCATCGATCGCGTGCGATCTCCACGAAGCATGCAAAAAAAAAAAAATCCGTTCCTAAACCTAATTTTGGCTATTTAAACGTCCCAGCCCTATTACCAACGGCTTGGATCGAATCTAAGGACAATTAGGAGGGAAATTGAATGATATTAGTCGTGGTTTTGAATTTCAAACGAAGGGGAATTGAATTAGGCATTAAATGGGCATTCAATATTAGCCGTGGTTTTGAATTTCAAAAGAAGTGGAATTGAATTAGGCATTAATGGGCCTTAATTTTATTTAAATAGGTGATTAAGACCTATTAAGAGCCATGGTTGACCAAGTCCGTGTTTGACTTGGTCAAACCAGTCAAGTGGGTCAATGGGGAGTGCGGATCAAGCCATGAAAAAGATTGGAATCGATTTGGGCTTTTAAAAGGGCTTAATGGGTCAATTTTGACCCATTAAGACTTGGGTTGACCAAGTCAAAAGTTGACTTGGTCAACTCAGTCCACTATGCCCGTGTTTGGACAAAATCGAGGTCAACAAGGATGTTTTAATAATAGTCAAAATGGAGATTGTGAAAGAGCTATGCTGTAGTACTTAAAATATTATGCTTAATTATAATGCCTTTTTTTTTAATGATTATATTTTAGATTTAGTGATATGAGATCCATAATGGCATTGAGTCAAGAACATCAATCATAATTGTGTAGTTTATTGAGTATGGGATCCTTGCATGGTGATTCATGCATGTGAACAAATAAGATTTGTTAGAATTCAGGGATAGCTTAGGAGTTAGGGCTCCACAACCCAGAGTTCTTAAATGAATTTATTTAAGAAGTCTGAAATTTTTTAACCGTGGTGTTCGGCTCCGAGACTTTTAGCGTCGTTTTGAAAAATATTGTTTTATATAAATTTCTCTCCACGCAGCCCATTTTTCCCTCTCTCATCTAGCTTGCTGGGTAAGGAAGGGAAGGAGGAAAAGGGAAGCGAAGAGAGAAAAGAAGTGGGCTTTTTCATTTCAAATTCTTTTCACTGCTTCTAAAAAATTTATTCAATCATTATAGGTGACTTCAATCATATATATGTTTTCAAATATTTTGATTTTGGGATTTATTCTTCTGTCTAAACTGATACTTATTGCATTTTATCCTTATTTAGTGAACATCTTCCACATCACTTTTGGTATATTGTAGTACTGAATATTATGGACATTTTGACTGAAGGATTTCACATTTCACTGGTTGAAATATTATTTATTGCATTTTTTTTCTGATTTGAGTAAAAATATTTGAGTTTTTTTTTTGACACGGTTATACTGTTAATGCAAGCACTTTGAATGAATACATGTATGTGAATGAGTAATATATGGTCGCTATTAATTTTACAATTATTATGTATGTAACAACAAGAAAGGTTGATTTATTACTATGGTTAGCTGGAAACTTTTTTATACATGCTTATGATGGTGTACTGACAAATTTTTCTTTAAATATTATGATTTGTGGTGATATCCTCTACTAGTTCACATGATGTATTGATTTAGAGTGATAAAGAGAAATTACTATGCCAACAAGTAAGAGTAATGACTTTGATTACTGAAATCCACCTGAATATTATACTGAGAATACTCACTGGAAAAATGTCACGCAAGCCAAAATTCATTACTTATTTAATATGACTGTTTGGATATGTACATAAGATATTGGTTCATTATTAATGATTAACTATTTTTGAACATGTGATTAAGATATTGATTTGAGGCTCATATAAAATAATTGAATATCTATACGATTTTTGATAATATTGCATTATCATATATTTCTGTCAATTTTCATAGATACTTCTGCTATACTGGTTTATATAATTTTAATACTATTTAGATAATATTGATATGATGTTTGATTTATGAATGATGGCTAACATTCTTATCATTTCAATACTAGTACTATATTGTTTTACAGGCTTTACTGTTACCACATGTGTTTTACTGTTTCTGCACATGCATAGATTCATGGTCATATTGATTGCTAACATTTTGAACTAAATGATTTCATGCATACTATTTTTTCCGTACTTTGAGTTCAATAGTAGAGTTTTAGTGACCTGCTGGATTTTATAAGCTCAATTTATATGATTTAATAATTTCATGCCAGGAAAGAAGTTCGGGAGTGTAGGCTGATCAGATTCAAGATTTTCTAAGTTTTATTGTTATTTTGTCTTTTAGTTATTTTTTTGAGTTCGAGAGTGGGCAGATAATAAGTTTTATTTATATGACTCTTTGTCAGTGTATATGATTTTTGAGTAATGAACTCAAATATATATATATATATTTGTATTTTTATCAATAGATTTATTTTCGCATGTATTTTATTATTGAAAGAAATTAAATAGTTCTAGTTATTATTATTAAAATATAAAAGATAGAATTCTTTCTAATGAAGATTTTGGGTGTGACACGAGTCTCGATTATTTCTTGAGAGAGAAGATAGATAGGCCATTTTAGATCTCGTTGAAAACATTTAGTCATCGAGATGAGTTACTTCATGAAGGGAGAAGGCACTACATTACACACCATGAATTTTAGTTGTTGGATCTATTAGCTTACGCACTAAGAGAGAGAGAGAGAATATTTGTTTTAGTAAAAGAAAGGAAGGATACAAGTCATTCAGTAATAGTGTTCTCTCTATATTTATAATTCAGTAGAACCTTTACATGGGCTTTAGTTTGCCACATGAAGTCTCTATCAACAAAGATATTTTAAGGCATTGAGAATTATAGGGTGGATATATAGCAATGCAGGAGAGATGTTTGACTGCATTGATAAAGGTATTCATTGTGGGACACATGATAGGCTAGGGAGAAGCTAAGAACATCAAATAGTTGGCTAGCTAATAGACAAGCAATTATTATTCAAAGAGTGATGATAATTCATGATAGAGAGCTAATATGAGATCTTGAGAAATTTTTAAGCATGGCAATCGATCCATACAGAAAGTGGCCACATTTTATTCTTAGACAAGCTAAAGAGAGCGATGGAGGCTATTACAATGTGAAGCAAAAAAAGGTGAAATATTATGAAATTCGAAGAGAAAATCAGTCTAGTGATCTAATAACTTCTAAATATAATGGGCATGATAACAACTTTGTTAGTATTTGTTTTAATGTATAATTTGTTTTATATATTGATTTCAATTTTAGTGAGCTGGTCTAGTCTCTTTAGAGGAATGGGACAATAAATAGAAAGCATTCCATTTATTGTTTGAGGTGAAAAATTGAATAAAATTATGTTTGATTTCCCTTCTCAAAACCATGACCTCTCTCCCAACACACACACTCTCTCTCTCTCTCTCTCTCTCTCTCTCTCTCTCTCTCTTAGTGCAAGCAGCCATAGAGCATGACTCTCGATCCAAGAAGGAAAATAAGGAGAATCTGCCACAAGGTGGACGTGTAGCTACGAGGAGGTGCCGACTAGAAGAGTTAGGAGTTGTTGCTGAAGCAGGAGGAACTGGTGGTGGAGCTTGGTCAAGACAACAAGATTTTATTCAAGATCCATCTTCCTTCAAGAATTCTCAATAAATGGTATCAGATCTTGGTTAGAAAGATCAAAAGAAGAAAGGTGTTTCTTGTAATCAAGAAAAAGAGCAAGTTTGAAGAATTATCATGAAAAACATTATTATAAGGTGAGATAGCATATTGGGGTTCTTCTTCCTTGTCCTATTATAGCTTTTTGTTCTATTCAGTCATGAAATAAAGAAGAGTGATGCAGTGAGAATTGCAGTATACGACCATACTTATAGTGGATCAAGAACCCTGAGGCACATGCAAACACCACTGTCTTAATTTCTTTTACTAAGTTGGATCAAGTTAACATTTGGGCTCGGATTAAGTTGAATTTGGTGTTGTAGTGTTCGTATTTTCGAGACGTTCATTTTGATTATAAGTTTCCAACTCAAAATTGTCTGGATATTAGTGTCTGATCATGATAAATTGTTTATGATATATCATTTTGATGGAGCGAGGTTCCGTCACTCCCGGTGATTGTAAGGACCATGGACCATGCTGGTGATAATAAGGAGGAGTTGACTGAACTTGGATTCAAACGCCTCTCCATTTAGAGGTGTCAATATTTGATACGACCCGAAAAATTCGGGTTGGACCCGACCCGTTTGATAAACGGGTCGGGTTCGGGTTCGCAGATTTGATCCGTTTGATAAACGGGTTGGGTTCGGGTTGACCCGGCGGGTTGACGGGTCAACCCGGCAACCCGTTTATTTTAAAAAAAATTTGAATTTCCCATCGCCTGACCTCCCCCACTCACGGAGAAGGAAGTCCAGGAATAGATTTCAGAGTCTGATCAGTATAGGTATTTTGTACCTTTTGATTTTTGTACAGACATGGCTTTTCTGCTCTGTTTCTTTCTGTCTGAGCCATGTACTGTATTTGTAGATGATTGTTTTGAGGAAAAGAAAAGAAAATATAGATGTTTTGTTCCGCTGCATTTGATGATTCATAGTAGCTCTGTGTCTGTGTGTCTGTTTGAGTTGAATAATTTGGAAGATTCAGTTCTGAACCAAATTCCATAACCAGATCCTGGTCAGTAAGTCAGTCAGTTCGTTCCGTGTCGCGACCTGGTGCGAGCGGGATCCGTCCCGGATCGGGTCGGGTCGTGACACACAGGACCTCAAGCGGTGGTCCGGCAGAAGTCAGGGACTCAGGTGTTGGCCTGGTGGAGTACAGCACCTCAAGCAGTGGTTCGACAGAAGTCCGAGCCTCTGGTGGTGGTTTGGCGGAGGACAATGCCTCAAGCGGTGGTCCGGCAGAAGTCCGAGCCTCAAGTGGTGGCCTGGTGGAGCACAGGGCCTCAAGTGGTGGTCTGGTGGAGCACTGGGCCTCAAAGTGGTGGTCCGGTGGAAGTCCAGGCCCTAAGTGGTGGTCCGGCGAAGGTGAGTGGCTTAAGTGGTGGTCTGGCGGAGCTTAGAGTCTCAGGTGATGGTCCGGCGGAGCAACGACATCAAGCGATGGTCCAGCGGAGCAACGACATCAAGCGATGGTCCGGCGGAGGTGAGGGCCTTAAGTGGTGATCTGGCGAAGCTCAGAGCCTCATGTGGTGGTCC